TAAATAAAAATGCAATTTTTTAAAAAATAAAAAAATATTGTTATGTAAGTTCAAAAATTTTAAATAAAGTTTAGTTTAAAGAAATACTCTACTTTATTCTACCAATGAAAGTTTTGAGGTGATATTTTTTTCAGATCTACTTGACATTATACAATCTACTGTAATATTATCAAATTCTTTGATGGCTTTAGTGTTGTAAGAAATATAATGTACCTTAAATATTTATTTAACCATTAATGCAAATCGTTCCATTATTCCACATCTTTTGAGTTTATTAATGTAAGTACCCTTTAAATATCTGTTCAATATTTTTTTAGCAACCTCTAGAGATATAAATTCTTCAATTTCCAAGTTCATTGACGCAATCATTTATCTTTCTCTTGTTAATATTTCTTTAAATTTTTGAACTTTTGCAGTGATCCTTTTATTAAATTTATTACAAAGTGTGTTAAAACCTGTTTAGAATGACAAATTACCTCTTTTGCTTCATTAATATATAGCTCATAGTTAAATATTTTAATAATAAGACTTTTGATAGTTGTGACTAATGAAATCTTATGTTGAAAAAAAGGTATTTTATTTCCTCATGCTAAAAATGAGCTAGTGATTTTCTTCAAGCTGTATAATTTCAGGCTTTGTGATTTGTGGAATTGCAGTAGGTGAATTGAATATATTGATAGAAGAATTTAATAGCGTATTAAAAGCATTAAACATCTAGTTCACTATCATTAAAATATCCAGCCTTTTTATTACTAGCCATTGACAAGCTTCAAAAGAGTTTGTCACATCCTTAAATATTCCAGATCTTCCTAAAATTAATTAAATTATTAAATATATTAATAAAGTAATCTAAAAGACTTAAAGTAATGAAATTTTGACATATTTGCCTATCTTTTTATTAGAATTTTCGAAAACTTCCACATTATCGTTAAAGGTTTTGTGAATGTTATCATTTTTTCATTTTTGGTCTTTTTTATTAGCTTTTATTACTTTTGTTCTTTCTTTGTAATAATAATCTAATAAAGCAGTTTTACATAAATAAAAGTAACATTATATAAAGCAAAGAGTCATTATATATTTACCAGTTTCTTCTGTTTCTTCTTCACTTTCTGTTAATTATAACAGATCTGTAATTTTGATCTTTTTGAAAGACAAGTTATATTTCGTTAGTATATATGTTAATATACTGCTGTCTGTAGTATTGAAATCTTCAGCATTTTAAGATTTTGATCGATTAGTATATTCTTTAATCAATAAGAAGTTATTTTTAGAAAAATAAGTAGTTTTAATAGCTTTAATATGACTAACCTATCAACATATCATTATTTTCACTATTGTTGTAATCATTATTTAATATAATAGGTTGAATTAAATTACTTAAAGTAATTGGAATTTGTAAAGTTGAATTCAGTTTTATGGCTTGCTTTTCCTTTTTGTGATTTTTATTAGGAGAAGTGAAGGTAGTTAAAGCTTCACATATAATTATTTCTTCACTTTCTTTACTTTCAAGACCCTCTTCATTAGAATTAACAATATGCATAATAAAAATAGGTTCTGTAGTAGTTTCTATATATGATCATAATTTTTTCTATAACTGTAGCTACCTCTTTCATGATCTTTTAAATCAAAGTAAAAAATCAGAAAAAATAACTATAATTCAACTTAATTTTCATTCGATTTGATGAATAGAGACATATTTCTATTATAAAAAGTAAAAAAAATCAGAAAAATTGACTAAAATTCAACATAATTTTCGTCTGATTTTGATGGTTAAAGGCATTTTTCTATTATAAAAAGTAAAAAAATCAGAAAAATTAACTAAAATTCAACTTAATTTTCGTCCGATTTGATGGTTAGAGGCATGTTTCTATTATAAAAGTAAAAAAATCAGAAAAATTAACTAAAATTCAACTTAATTTTCAACTAATTTGATGGTTAAAGGCATGTTTCTATTATAAAAAGTAAAAAAAATCAGAAAAATTGACTAAAATTCAATATAATTTTCGTCTGATTTTGATGTTTGAAGGCGTTTCTATTATAAAAAGTAAAAAAATCAGAAAAATCAACTAAAATTCAACTTAATTTTCATCTGATTTGATAGTTAGAGGCATGTTTCTATTATAAAAAGCAAAAAAATTAGAAAAATTCAACTTAATTTTCATCTGATTTAATGGTTGAAGACATATTTTTATTATAAAAGTAAAAAAAATCAGTTTATTTTTGAAAAGTTAATTAAAATGCAGCTTTTTCTTTGTCTGATTTTGATAGTTGAAGGTGAAAATTGACTAAAATTCAACTTAGATCTTTTTGTTCTTAGGATGTTTTTTTTCAGGATTTTGGTGAAATGTAAAAAGAGAAAATTTGGAAATAATTGAAATTATTTTTTAAAAAGTTATAAAATTAAGCTTATTTATATAAATATTCCTATATACCAGAAATAAACTCAAATAGTACATTAAATAAATATTATTTTAGCAAATTGGTTTAATCCAAAAGTTTAGTTCATTGGAACGATAAATACATCTAACCTAAAAAATGATAATACTATCATTCCTTAGGTATGATAAAATCGTCATACTTAAGGAATGATAATATCATCATTTCTTAGGTACGATAATACCATCATCCATAAGGAATGATAAAACAATCGTCTTTAAAGAACAATAAAATCATCATTCTTTAGGTATAATAATACTATTATTCCTTAAATACAATAATACTATCATTTCTAAGAAATGATAAAACAATCGTTCTTAAGGAATGATAAAATCATCATTCTTTAGGTATGATAAACTAACATTTCTTAGATACGATAATATCATCATTCCTTAGAAACAATAAATGCATCTAACCTAAGAAATAATAAAATCATCATTTCTTAGATACAATAATATTATCATTCCTAGGAAATAATAAAACTATCGTCTCTAAGAAATGATAATTTCATCATTTCTTAGGTATAATAAAATCGTCATACTAAAGGAATGATATTACCATCATTCCTTAGATACAATAATATTATCATTCCTTAGGTATGATAATACCATCATTCCTTAGGAATAATAAATGCATCTTACCTAAGGAACAATAAAACTATCATTCCTTAAATATGATAATACTATCATCTCTAAGGAATAATAAACCTATTATCTCTAAGGAAAGATAATTCCATCATTTCTTAGGTATGATAAAATTGTAATACCTAAGAAATGATAATACCATCATTCCTTAAATACGATAATACTATTATCCCTAAGGAATGATAAAACACAATCATTTTTAAAGAATGATAAAATCATCATTCTTTAGGTATAATAAAATCGTCATACCTAAGGAATGATAATTCCATCATTCTTTTGGTACGATAATACCATTGTTCCTAAGAAACAATAAAATAATTATCTCTAAGAAATGATAAAATTATCATTCTTTAGGTACAATAAAACCATCATTCTTTAGATACGATAATACTGTCATTCTTTAGGTATGATAATACCATTATCCCTAAAGAATGATAAAATCATCATTCTTTGGGTACTATAAAACTATTGTTTCTTAGGTATGATAATACTATTGTTCCTAGAGAATGATTAAACTATCATCTTTAAGGAATGATAATACTATTATTTCTTAGATACAATAATACCATTAACCCTAAGGAACGAAAATATTATCGTCTCTAAGGAATGATAAAACTATCATTTCTAAGGAAAGATAATACCATCATACTTTAGAAATGATAATTCATTGTACTTAAGGTATGATAAATACATTATTCCTTAAGAATGATAAAACCATTGTACCTTAGGTATAATAATGCTATTATTCCTAAGAAATGATAATATCCTATCGTTCCAATCAGAAGTTAATTAATTATAAATAAGATAGGTCAAATTTTGATATATACCAATCGGCTATAAGTATGCCAATCAGTTATAAATAAAATGGGTTGAATTTTGGCTGATTTTTGGTCAATTTCTTATTTATGCCAATCAGCTAGGCTGATTTTTGATAATTTGTCGAATTTAGGCTGAATTTAGGCTAATTTTAGGTCAATTTTCATAAGTCTGATTTTTTTGATTTCAACCAGTGTTATGCATGTATATTTAGTACCATTTGGATTATATATTATAAAATTTGGTTATTTTTTTATTTATTAAAATATTTTACTTTACATTTATATTTAAACATTTTGTTTAAAAGAATTTTTTTGTCAAAGTTATATAACAAAATTTAAAATAAAGAGTTTACTAACTTTTTTTTAAAAAATTTAAAAAGAAAAAATAAATGAGGCATAATATCATAATGGCTTATTATCAAAATATTACATTATTAATATTATAAAGTTATTATTATAAATTTAATTGTAGCATTATTGATAGTAACTTCTCATATTATTAGAGATTATTACATAGTTTACAGTAAGTAATGCATTAATTGGATATTTTATCATAATGTGGCAAAATCTACTAATCAATACATTACTATAATAATTGTAGAGTTATCAGTGATTATCCATGAAGTTATGATATAATTATTTAGTCTATTGATTATTATAAAATATTATTTTAAAAATTATTCTTTTTTCTTTCTCATTTTATATCATTTAATCTCAATACAACTGCATTTTTTTATTATGCCAAAAATCTAAATACAGTAGCGGTCATAAGTATCTGACTGCCTAAGATCGTCTAAAATTATTATATAATTACCCTTAAATTTTTTCAAAATATAATGTAACACAATATATGATCATCTGTAAATTTATAAGTGTTAATGATACAAAAAAAAATTTAAATAATCATTAAACTTTCACTTGAAAAATGGAACTTTCTTTAGAGAAACGATATGAAATTGTCTTTTTATGTGAACATCCAACTGATCTAAAGTTTAATTTTGGATTTATTGCTAAACAGGTACATTGTAGTAAGTCTACAGCTATTTATTGGGTTAAAAGATATCATAAAAATCAGGAT